AGAGCATCAAGCTGTGATTTGATTGATTTATGTGATCTGCTCAGCAATTACTTCCATAAGATTCTTGTCACAGAAAAGGTAGAATGATTCTCAAGTTACTTATCAAGTCTATAAAATTTCTATCCTTTGAAGAATCCTCTTAAAAAAATCCTTGATTGCTTTTCTTTTATCTTCTTTTCTGTTTCCTTTTTCATTCTGATGGCTGCAATGACTTTTCTTGAGAAATAGAAATGGTACTTCAAACCACATAGCAGACTGGGTGGGATACCAGCAGTTTATTTTGAAGGAAATTATTCATATATTCATTAATTGCCACCACCATATCTAAATCATCTAAATACACTGAATCTCATTGACATGTTAAAATAAAATCAAAAATTAAAAATCACAAAGATGGTGTGAGAATTTGAAGTTCCATATACAACATTGATTGAGTGGGTTAAAGGAAGCAAATCAAGAACTATAAGAGTTCCAATCAATCAAACATTGAATGACAGAGAAAGCTCTTAAGAGATGGATAATACAGTTGAATATTAATTTTTGTCCTTCCATCATTGAGCATATCAAAGCCACCACAAATCATATGTTGATTCTTCATCACACCAATTCTGACATCAATCCTCTGACTGTGGGCAAAATGTGGGCATATTGATTCACAAATCATCTGTCAGAGTATAGCAGAGTGGAGCAGAAGCCAATGAATCTGAAACAGATGTCTAGTGAGAATATAAGCTTCATCATCAACTGATTCAATCGCTATGAATCTATATTCAATCAGTACAATTTCCATACAGACAATGTTTACAACTTTGATGAGATTGAATTTCAGAAAGGGGAGGAACATGAGCAGCTAACTGCTTATCAAGATACAAATTCTGTCATACAATCTTCATATTCTCATAGATTAATAACTGTGTTGGAGTGTGCTGCTCTACCCCCACTGATTGTAATGAGATCAAAGATTCATCTAGAAGATTGGTATACAGATATCAACTTGCCTGGCAATTATGCAATTACAACATCTGAATCCAACTTCACTAATGATGAGATTGCATTTGAATGAATTAAAAGATTCAACATGTTGAGCAAGAAACACCAGATGAGAAGTCATCAATTATTACTGCTTGACAATCATGGATCTCATCTAATCAAAGAATTCCTTCAATATTGTGACTTTCACAACATTATCATATTTGGATTCCCTTCTCATACAAGTCATATATTGCAACCTCTCAATGGCATTCCTTTTCAACAATATAAGCACTATCATACAAAAGCAATTAATGAGGCTGTCAGCTACAGATACTTGTCAGTGTTGTTGACATAATAGATAGCACACAACTTTATTCTGTAACCATTCCAAACTAATTAGCATGGAAATGGTCTTCTCTCTAAATTATGTATGCAAAGCCTTTGATTTACCTCTTTAATTCTATCATTGCAAAGAGCACTGCCTCCATAATTACCCAAACAATCTTGAGAACAAGTCTGCATCAGAAAATACAACACAAAGCAATCTAAATCTCATCTTCATTCTCTCATAATATGCACTTCACTCCCCACAACTGATGTCTGAAATAAATCTAAGACCACCAATTACAGGCAATTTTAGGAGCTGGTGATAACAACACAAAATAGAGATATGATATTTGATGGTAGATATATATTCAAGGTTCACGTCATTCTAACATGCAAAATATATCTACCACTCGCCAGTTTCTGAGGATTTCATTGAACCCATCAATGCTATAAATTCAAGAAGACTAGTATTGAAAGTTACTGTTTCAACAACTTCTTCAGATGATCAAAGTGTGTGGCAGAGAGACACTTTTTTAAACTTCATTCTTCTTTCTTTCACTTCTGATATCCATCATTCATACCACTACATTATCAACAGCCTGTTTAGAAGATCGCCTGTTCTCTATCAAGAATGACAGAATCTCAGCCAGGCTGAATTCCAGCCCTGATATCTTGCCAGCAAACTCATATACTAGTGGGTCAGCTGCTTTCTGTTCAAAGGCAAATCAGAAGAGCTGAGCTATTGTTTCTTTATCTGCAAGACAGAAGTTGATTTTCACATTCATACAACTGGCTTGCAAAAGTGTGCTGTTGACTAGTTCAATATGACAGATTGTCATGATTAACACTTGGCCATCTTCTACATCATCAATCTTCTTATGATCTAGTCTCTGACAATTTATCACAGACTTGAAATTCATCACAAGTCAAGCTGTCAGAAACCCTCTCACATAGAGAGAGCTGCAAGCTATGGAAAACCATTGAGTTGATATACACATGATTGATAACTGCAGAGAACAGCATCAGCTAGAAGCAGATCATTATTTGAATGAGGCATTCAGCAGTTGCATATTGTGCCATTTTCTTTGCAATCAGAAATACATGAATTTCTAGAGAATTGAGTCAATAATTCAGCCAATTCAACTTTGAAATCTTGAGCAGTGTAACTATCAAAATGTTGTGGAGGAAACATGTAATCCCAGAATATTGGCTTTCCAAGTTGCAGAGACAAGGAGAGAAACAAGAAGAAGAAGCAGAAACAACAAAGAAAGATGTCTGAGCAATTAAGAAGAATATGAGCTTTCAACTTCACTTATCATGACATGGAATCTGTTTCAATTGTCTTGAGTGTCTCTTAGAAATTAAATTCATTTCAAAGAACTTCTTCATCATCTCTCTGAACTCTGTGGGCTTTGCAACAGCAAGGCCTTGAATGACTATTCCAATACTTCTCTCTCTGCTCATGTGTCACATCATATATGAACTCCACTGCTTCTTCAACAGATTCAACATCCTCATTCCCACAAATGGCTTCTGCAATCATGAGATCTTCTGCTTTGCCAAGTACTTTTGCTATATTTGAGCAGGAACCAACTTTCTCCATATATACTTCATTGATGTGGTGGTAGAAGCTGCATACTATCAAGGGCAATCTTTCACTTGTGGGGTTTCAATGTTGTGAAACTGCTATCCATAGAATTTCATACTCATTCATTTCTGAAACCTTGAACCTCAGCTCTTTCCACCCACTTGATTCAACTTTCTCAACCTCTGAAAGGCTTTCAGTGGCTTTGACAATCATCAAACCATCAGCTTGCATGGCATTGAGAAGCTTACAGCTGCCATCTTCATTTTCCACAACAACTTGAGCAAAGTTGTCATATATATTTATATGGGAAATTCTCTGTTCATGAACTGTGTATTCAGGTTGCATATATTATGAAACCTTTCAGAGAAGAATCTGAACTCATCTTTTCCCAATATTTCTGAGAGACAGAATCTGGGTTGCTGTCTGAGTTGTTGAGGTGGTCATTGCTTGAGTTTGAATTAGAGGCAAAATGATTGTAGTCAATTTCATTGCTCAACTACAGACTATTAGCCACTGCTAGAACAGTGAGATGGAGACATTACTTATCAATGTGGGTATGAGAAATCACTATTTTCTGATATGTTCTGATAATACTGAGCTCATTGCAATTGACACTCTGTGTGAATCTTCACTTGACATGTCAGATATTGAGTGTAACTTGTTATACCATCCATGATCATTTCCATACAAACAAGACACTCTGTAGTTGCACACAGAGTTCAGGTTTCTGAATATCCCAATTCAGCAAATGTGCTGTCAACTCTGACTCTTATTTCTCAAAATGCTGCTGTATTTTGAATAGTGGTATATAGGTGAAAATATGCTTCATTAATAGTTGATTCATTTATATAATGTAGCTGTGGTGGTTGATCATTCTGTGAATTCAGTTCTGAGATTTTGGAGTTCAACTCAGTGATCTTTGTAGTAACTTTCTGATGTATTGATGTAAGTTGCTTAATTGATGCTCCTTTAACAATTCCATCCCACAACTTCATTATAAGTGGGGTTAGCTTATATCAAAGTGGCACTCAGTACATTCTGAGATCTTCTGAGTATGTATATCTTTCCACTGATGGTAACTGAGCTCATTCTTCAGAAAGATGTAGAGACTTGCATAGTACTCAAAGTTTTGCAGACTCAGAGAAGCTTTATGAATTCAAAAACAGCTGAATTCAGATTTTATCTGTGGATCAATGGTTTTTTTTGATCATGTTGTGCCTCACAATTTTTTCATTAATTGTACAGAGAGCACTAAACACATTACCAATCTCTTGTGAAATATCAGCATTATTTGTTCTGATTGCATTAGTAATGCTGTTTTGATGGCCAGCCTGGCATGCTTCATATAGCATTAGACTGGCCGTGTGACCATGCATGGGACTGGGACCAAATTTTTCCTCAGTCCCATTATTAGATATCTTAGTCCTGGTCCCATATAGTGTTTAGCAAATTAGTCACTTTACACTGTTTATATTATAAATCTAGTCCCAGATCATGTTTTACTAATAAATTAGTGATTCTGGTCCCATTTGGTCCCATTTTACAAAATGGGACCAAATGGGACCATGATTTACCCTATATAGGTTGGCAGCGATAGATAGGTTGGCAGCGGTAGGTAGGTTGGCAGTGGTAGGTAGGTTGGCGGCGATAGATTAGCAGTGATAGATTAGCAGTGATAGATTAGCAGTGATAGATTAGCAGTGATAGATAGGTTGGCAGCGGTAGGTAGATTGGCAGCGGTAGGTAGGTTGGCGGCGGTGGGTAGATTGGCAGCGGTGGGTAGGTTGGCAGCAGCACTAAGCAAGATAGAGGTAATATCTCCACCAATCATATCATCAGATTGATGTATTATATAATCATCAGAATGGGACCAAACTTGAGTCAAAATCATGATCAGTCCCAGATCATGTTCTGATTTTGATAGTCAGTCACTTTACATGGAATATCAAGATTTTTTAGTCCCATTTCACTCATGTTTTGATAATTCTAGTCACTTTACACTCCCATTCTGGTCCTGGTCCCACTAAAATCATGCCAAGAAATGGACTGAGACCAAACCAAACCAAACCAAATGTGTAATTCATGGTCCCGGCGGCCAGTCTATATAGCATTATTATATACTGTGTTGCTGCAATGTGGCAATGTCAATAATATCTATTCAAGGGTTCCTCTACCACTGAAACATCAGTTTTATCCCACTGAAGGTCTGAAAATGACTGCCTCACTCAAGTGACAGTATGAGTTAATTCTAACAGAGTTAGTGCAAAAAACTTGTTCTGTTTCACAGCTTCTGATACTTACTCTCAAGAGCATTCTTTTCTAATTGTTTATCCTTCTCAGAGTGGAACTTGTCAGAGTTTACCACCACTGTGGTGTGTGCAATCACCTTTCTATATATTTCTGCCATCATCTGAGAAGCTGTGATCACAAGCATCATATGCATATTTTCAGAAGCTCTGTCAACAATTGCTTTGGCAAGCTGAAGACAGTTCTTGATGCTAAGTGTTAAAGTGCACATTACATTTATAGCCTCATCTTCATCAACAGCATCATCAACAGCAGCATCATCATCATCATCATCAATATCAGCATCATCATCCTCATTTTGATGATATATAGATATAGAGTCATCATTGAATCCTTCATGAGGTGGAAAAAGATGTGCTATGAAGGAGACAAAAGCAGAAGAAACAGAAGGAGAAGGGGTGGAGGTGGCAGAATTAGCAGTGCCAGCACCAGAGTTGGAAGGAATGGGAGGAGGAGAGGCAGAGGTGGTGGAATTAGCAGCACCAGTGCCAGAATCAGATGGTGCAGAGATGATGGAAGTGATATCAGCCATTGTTTGAAAAAATCAAATTTTGTTTGGAAAGTGTAAGATGGATGTGCGGGTGTTTAATAAAGATGATAGTTTATGATAATGATAGTTTGAGAGATGCAGTCTAGATTTTATATTCTTTCAGAGATCACATCTTTCTTTTTCACAGCTACAGTCATGCTTGCATTTCTGCTGATCATCTTCTGAGCCACACTTATTGAGATGATAACTGTGGCCTATTCTCTTCTTTAAATAGCCATCTAGAGAATCAAGATGGGCACAATTCATTTCACAGAAGATCAAAACCTTTTTTTTTTTTCAAATATTTCACAAGAATGCTGACAACCACTCTGTTCTGCTTTCTCTTGTATTTTCACATTATCATATTGAAGATGAAGTATGCTCTTCTGTGAACTGTGATGTATTCAAGAAAAGTTCTAACAGATCACAGAATTGCTCAAACAATTTCTGTTCAGATAACTGAGTCAGTTACTCATCAAGTGACTGTTAGTGCTGTTGAGGTCAAAGAGGGATATCTCTTTGAACCAGGGTATATCAATGCCAATATTGAGGAGAAGATTGTTTTTGAGTTTCATGCTTTGAATCATATCTTAATTCAATTAAGCTTGGCTCATTCATGCACATCATTACAGCAACTGAACTTCAGCTTCAAGCAGTTCAACTCAACTGATCATAAAGATCTCATACTGTCAGTGACTGTCAATACTCTTGAGCTTCAGTGGTTCTTCTGTCATCAGAACATATCTTCCTCTCACTGCCATGCAGAAATGGTATTTACAGTCAACTCTGAAAAACATATGAATAAATTTCTAGCAAATGTGAGGAGAGAAAATGCAGTTGGCATTTCAGATGCAGCTAAAGAAACACAACAATCAGTGATATTGTGTAGCTTCACATCATCAGCTGACTGATATCTAAATTCAATCAGAGTGTTTCCAATCAGTGTGTTTTCAACAGAGATTCCAACTGAGGTGTTTCCAACTGAAGTGTTTTCAATCAGAGTGTTTCCAACCAGGGTGTTTTCAACTGAGGTGTTTTCAACAACTCTATAGCACTCAACAGAAGCATCTGAGAAATCAGTGTCTTCATCTTCACAGTCATCATCTGAAGCTTTTACATCATCTGAAAACAATGAGTCACAGACAGTCTTTAGATTGACCACACTTATACTTCTTCTGACTAAGCTCCATTTATAATTTGTGGGGAGTGAGCAAATTGAGCTTTCTCAAAGTTTTGTGTTTGAGGGGAGAAATCATGCAGTTACTCTTGGAAGGTTCTTCTTTGCCACTGTTGTTATGCTAGTCAATAATATAATGTATATATTGAACAAGAAGATCATTGCAGCATGAGTTGTTCATGTACTAAATAAAGAACAATGAAACTTAACCAATTCTAGTTAGTGTATATACTCTGTTATGAAGCTCAGTACTGTACTTTAAGTTTGAGTACAAAAGAATCAATCTTGACAAGAATATATAGTGAGGCATCTTTATAGCTTCACTTCTGTTTTCATTGAATAAAGACTTAGACAAGGTTGCTCTGCTTCAGCTCTGAATCAATAATTCACAGTACATCAGCAATTATCAGAAATCTCAAAAGCTCACTATAAATGCAAAAGACAAGATGTGAATCACAAAAAGATAAAGACAGCAGACATCTATTAACTACATATTAGTCAGTACAAACAAATATTGATGAATCAGTTCATATCACTTCTACATACTTCTGCATCATATCTCAATATTCTGTGGACAAACCTCTTGTAACACACCTTCAGCAGCAGATTGAAGATCAAAAAGTCATTATAGAAGCTCAGTCAGCTACAGTGTCAAAATGTATCAAGAAACTAAGTAAAGTCTTAGAGAAGAGACAATAGAATTGGGAAAGTGATCAATTTGAAATAACATCTATCTTATATACATGTATTTACATTTCTTCTCCTTCCCATTCAATCTTCTCTCATATGTATCACATTGGACTTGGAAAGGTGCTCCATAATTAGAAGCACCAAAGACCTCATCTAGACCTTGTTCATCTATATACCATTGAATAGCATTGAGAGATTCATTTAGCAACAACACAGTGCTATTGAATCATAGTGTCATGGTAATTTTCTTCTGAAGATGTTGAACAGTGAATTGAATAGATCTGCAGTAATATTGACATTCCATGCATATATCATTCTCACTTACATAGAGACTCAGATTGATGTCATTCTTGTAAAATTCATGGTGAGCTGGTCAGAGCATCAATAATACTCTGATAATTGGCCGAGCTGATCCATAGCATCTAATAGTCTCAAAGCAGAGAAAGAAGCCATTTTGAAACTCTGAAATTGAGCTCAATTTAAAGAAGAGACTTGAAGCAAGAAGAGCTAAAAGAGTCTCTTTCATCTTGTCTGCTTCTGATGAATTCTTTTGAATAGATTGAGAGATATTCTTCATCACATCAATATCAATAATTGACAGCTGCACATCTGTGGTGAAGGAGTGGTTGAAGCAGAAGTAGTTCTTATGGATTTAATCATCAAACTCACTCTGAAGTTCATTTCAGATCTCCTCACCATCAAATGAAGACATGTAGAAGCAATAAATGCAAGGAAGCCATTCATCTAGAAGAATGTTGTGTGAATTCAAGGTTTTCAGAACCCTTGAGACAGTTTCTGTACTCAGAAAGATTACAATATGTGATTTTGATATCTATAGCCACAGACACTGCACTTCTGACAACTCTAAGTGAATTGAATTATTATGCCACTGTTTCATACTGCTGTTCTGAAAACTATCAATAGAGGGGATATCAATGAATGAAAACAGCCTGTTCAGAGTCAGAAAAAGGAATAAAAATTTGAGACTTGGAATCTATATGAAAGCAGTCAAGATAGCTCTTGCACTGCAAAATGTTAGCAGAGTGAGATGAGTAAGATAAGAACTTCAGAACTCACACTTGCCAGATAAACAGCTCATTATCAACCTCAGTTTGAAGACAATCATACACTGTGAAGTCAGTGGATAGAAAGATGAAAATATAGATGGCAACATATACCACAGTCATCTTGTAAGAGTGTCTCATTATTATAGTTGATAAAAAGAAAGGAAGTCCCATCTGCAACAGAGGTAGATGTCACAGCAACCCTCCAGCCTGCAACCATAATTTGAGAAATGTCAAACATACATAATGTTGCTCTGTAGTGTTGCATAAAGATATACTCCAAGACTCTGCTGTTATATATACCATCTGCTATTCAGATTTTGACCAGACACTGCAGCTTGAACACACAACCCCTCTGCTGACTCTCAAAAAACCTTTTCATCAATTGTTGAAAGTGCTCACTGCACTTTTCAGTGTCATTCTGACATATATCTATATCAAGTGAAATGTCTCCATCTGTGAGATGTTAGCTCTGAATTCATAGAAGAGGTCTGCTCTTCAAGAGAGATTGAAAGTATATGAATCTGAGCTTGTTCCAATGAAATAGTCAATAAGATTTCACAACTGTAGATTGCACAGAAGTCTCTTTTGCATGAAAACTAGTAATTCAGCAGAAATAATTTCTAGCAGATTCTCATCATCAATGCTGAGAAGACAGGCAGCAAAAGTTGATGGCTTGATCCTCATCTTCAATACTGTAGATGCATTGCACAAAGAGCATTTAGTTACAACATACTCACTCTCTGCATCAGCACAGCCTTCACCAAATCTCTCCACACAGTTATTACAAAGAGTATGACCACATGAAAGATGATATTTCACACAGTGAATCACACAGACAAGACAAACAGAGTTGAGTCTCAATAAAGCTAGATGATTTCTCCACTGATTTAGATTGTATCTGTAAATATATGAAGAAGGGACTTTTTTCATACTCATGAATTCAAATAGTCTTTGAAGCTGATTATCAACACTCTGGCACATCAACTTCACAAAGATATAGTTGTCTAACACTCACTCATATATACTATAGCAGACCTTTAAATACAAAGTTCAAAACACAGTCTGAGGTGAGAATTCTAAGTTTGAGTAAGCTAAGATCAAGTACAACAGAGCTCAGAAGATATGCCATGTATTAGAGGAGAATATGCATTCATCAGAATCACTGATGCAGTGTATGACATCAGATCTTCATAAAGCATTTATTTATTGACCCTCTGACTCAGAACAGTTGATAGATGAGATACCAGCAAACCACTGACAGAGTTTAGTCTTCTTGATGAATGTATGAAGTCAAATGGTGTAAATATATTAGCTGCAACATGTCACAGTGTATCTTTATAGAAGGCATTTATGTGTATTGCAGAAAAGAAAACTTGATGAATTTTCCACACTGATCAGGCAAGATTGAGCTTCCTTGCAATATCTGTATGTAGATCTAGATAGTGAGCATCTGGAGATAGCTCATCTGACAGGTGTCATGATATACTAATATCTGTGAATACAGAAAGGAAAAGTGTGTCATTGACAATATTCAAAAGGAAAAATTCCTCATTCAGCAGTGTCTGTGTGATGCTGTTGTTATTCTTCTCAGTAACAATGATGATATGGGGGTGAATAGTGCCTGACAGAGTGAATGCAGATTCAATGATTACTCATTTCATCAGAAGAGATTGAACAGCTTTCAGATCTTCAACATCATCTGCAAAAATATAGATGATATTACAGAAGAGAAAGAGAAGTTGAGCAAGAATGAGATGAAAGAGATCAAACAAAAAGTCAGATCATTGAACTGATAGACTTTTATAGCAATGATATAACTGAGAGCTGCTTGATGTGTGTATCATCACACAGCTTGTTGAATCACAGTCTGTAAAAATTCTGAGATAGATGAATTGAAGAAAGATGTTGTTCACTTGTAAATTTACAACATACTGCTGTCAGAAGCAGCTTCTACAATGATTGATTCAGCAAAGTTGCCACAGCACATCATTCTTTGTCTTTCCATCCATGAGAAATATTAGCTGAGGAAATTGTTTTGAAGGCTGATCCATCTCAGCCATAATATATAC